ATTACTTATTATTATATTATCCTCTTTTTTTTATCAGTAAACTCTATAAGTTAGTATATATAGCATTATATCTAATATTTATGCAACAGTTTATTCAGTAATACATAAGTGATTTCGGTTCAGGAACAACGACAACACATCAACACATCAGTATGCTGTTGCAGCTGGTAGTCATCCTACGTCAACTTCGTCAATCCCTCAGGTTCATTTGGAATATCCCAACCCCTCCGGCTTTGTTTTCCTTCTGATATCGCGTGAAAAAATGTGATAGAATAGCCTAAATTTAACTGTTATATCACATCTTTTTTTGGTGGCACGTTGTTGATATATTATGGCAACATTATTTAACAATCAAGCACATAGATTGTTGGCAGAATTCATTGAAAGTGAAAAAAGTTTCAGTATCAACCATGTCAAGTACAGGTGGTTAATTTGGCTACTGATCTTGATACTGCAGTAAACAGTAATGATCAAAAGTCGTATATATTGATACCGAATGCACAACAAACATTTCAGCTCAGTGGAAATTCTCTGCAGGTCGTTGTCATTCTGTTCAGTTACTTTTTTAAGAAGCCAATAGTGGTTGACAAAACATCCTTTGATTGAAACTAGTTTTGAATCACAATTTCAATCGCATCTTTCTTACTTGATGATCTTAATGGTAATGATTTCCTGATAGTGTTTTTCTCTTTCTGTGATTATTCGTATTACATCACATTTCTTATTGCATGTGCTTGAAAAATCTGCTACATATTACATGCACTATCATATAGCAGTTATAATTTATTATGATTCAGGTATTACCTAGTAATGTTCAAGTGATCAATTTGAATGATGTTGCGTCATACATCACTTTGCCGAGTTCACCTTCGATATCTGTTAGCGAGCAGAGTCAGCAACCTTCAACATCTTCACCTATCGTAAGCTCGCCGTTTCTTTTCACAGGTATCTCATTTCATTTGACTTACTGTGCTGAAATGATTTAAATGGCTCTTTTTGATATCGTCATTTTTCGTCATCAGAGTGCTTTGTTGAGTTGTATCGAGTACTAGTTTATAAGGGCCTTTGTTCATTACTCTCGTTATCAGTTCATAATAAGTTGAACGTTTTTAATGTCTTTAATTCTTTCTTACCTGCTGTTTGTGATTTTAATGCAATGAATGAGTAAGGGTTGGCTCGAGGCGGGTATTGTAGACTTTTTCCAGAAAGTTTCGGTTAGTAATAGAGAGTCATGCTGGTCGTAAAACGTGCTTTACTGAAGATTCAACTGCTTCCATTGTTCATCTGCTAACAAAGGCAGAATTGAACTAGATTACTAAGTGCCTTATGTTTTGTTTAGAAATATCTTCTGTTTCTATTTATTTTGCTTTCATGCTATTGCACTTTCAGATGCTAAGGGAATTGATATCGCAAATGTGGTTCAACTGCTAACAACACAGGTTATTTTTCTAAAACTCCCAATGCTCAAAATATAAACATATCTCGGTTTTTAATTTATCAAATTGTTGTAGGGAACGTCGAATAATCCTCTTGTTACCAAACCTGATGAAGAACCTCTTTATGTTAATGCCAAGCAGTATCATAGGTGAGTGTTTTGTTACTTATTTATAGCCATGTTTTTTCTTCGTATCATCAGTTTAGTGGAGCACAATTTTTTGTATATGTATTACACATAGGTATTTACAGAATTATAAAGAGAAGAGCAGCTCGAGCAAAACTGGAAAGCGAGGGTAGAATTCCTAAAGAAAGGCGGGTAAGTAATAATGCTGAATGTTTTTATCACTGGTAATGTTTATGAATATTTCATGAGTAGTGGAAATTATGGATACCCTCTGATAGTATGTAGTGAAGTTATGAACGCATCATTTCCAGAAATATCTTCATGAGTCCAGACATAAGCATGCATTAACGCGAGTGAGAGGTGAAGGAGGAAAGTTTGATCGTGGTTCACGTAGTTCGCCAGTCCCAGATTCATCACAGCAACAGCGGCTAACGGAGCAAATACGCACAGTGTTTCGACCTGCTTACATTGATTGTGGACCGTCCAAAAATTCAGAATCGCCAAACATGGATCATCGATAAACTTTGTACATACATTTTTTCGTTTAAATAAGTTACGGAATATTTGAAAAGAAGATAGCCAGCGCAGTTTTCTTGATCACATAGAGATCATCGTATATTATGTGAAATTAGACTTGAAAATTCTACCATTTATGTGCTATTCCAAAGTGAATCTTAACCAGTAACTTATACAGAAGTCTACAGCTTATAAATTTTTTGGTTTGCTTCATAGAAATAAAATTATCCAACGAGATATCCGTAGTAAGGCCTGGTGCACACTATGTTCTTTTCTTGTTTGCAAGTCTTTCTTATCGTGTAATAACATATGTATGCTATTCAATGGTTTTCGTGCCATATATCCATCTGTAGGTACTATTATGTAAGAGCTTAGGTCTTGGCATATTTACCATTACTTACCCGTATGGTAGTTAAATGTAACCATTATTTATTGTCAGTTCATTTTCACTATTCTATAATTTAGTAGGTTGATCAGTTTTCACAGTAGCCTATTTCGTCTATTGCAGGTCATTTATTTTTATTACTTAAATTTCTTGCTAATGATATGTTTACTATGAGTTCATATAACGTTTATTTGGTTTGCAGGTTTGCAACTTTCTTAGTAATACTTGTGTCGTTTTAAATGTTTTGGGTTGTACCTCTTTCTGTTCTTTTGTAACTGCCTCTGTTGGAAGTTTAATGTTCTATGAATATCAACAGTATCAGTTACAACGGATGTTCCATTCTGTTGGCTGACTTAAGGGTTGTTTGTTACCCACTACATATGAATTCTATTTAAATGATTTATTTCATGAATTACAAAATAAAACCTTTCACTTAAACGTAATATTATTTGTTGTAGTGCTACTTATACATTTGTCGTCAACAACACAATCCCTTCATTACTAAAGCTGTGATTGTTCACCGCTAACTGGAACAAGATTCAAAAATGCGTTTTTCAAATGGTACATCCTGTGTTTATCAAATTTACATTTTCCAAGATACAGATTTTTTGAAATTCTTATCGAAGTGCTGAAGCCGGTCCCTTGCTATTCCTTCTAGTACCTTTTATCATTGGTGGACGAGAACCGGTGTCATGTATGCCATGACTCTTAAAAAGTTTGAAATTTGGAGAATAATGAAAAATTCTTTGTTTATGGAAGTTGTGAAAAAGCAACTTTACTATCTTGCTACTCCTACCATGGCCACAGCGGGAAATAATTGCATATTCTAAGCGAAGTGGAAAAGCTCCACATTTATGTATCTTATATTTATATATTATATATCTTATAAGTGTAGAGAATTCTTTGTGTTTATAAGATCATACAGACTAAGATAAAATCTATTATAACTTTAAGCATTTGAATGAAGAAATTGTTAAAAAAAATCCCGAGAATAAGATTGCTTGTTATTTATGATACCAGTAGTTCAGTGATGAGTAACCTAGTACTTTAGTAAGGGGTTCATATGCAAATAATTAACGTGTAGATAATTAAGGAATGAACTGACTTGTAATTTTATCATTTTTAATCTTGGAATTAAATCTCAAATTTAAGAAAGAAGGAGATTTCAAGCTAGCTAAAACACAATGAATTCATTATGATCTTTGATAGAGATGATTTGACTATCAAGTTTTTTACTGTAATACCATATAAATGAGTGAGCTTGAACAATAAGGTGAGAAATTTTATGAGGCATTAGTGATAGTACTGATATCTGATTTCTGGAATTCTTTTTCGAAGAATGCCAATTAATCGGTCATTGAGTATTTTTCTTTCTTTCCAAAAATGGTGCATGATTTCATTTTTCTTTTTTTAAGGATGTAAAATGTTACGAGATAAACAATAATTGATAAGAGAGAAATAATGTTGGAAAACAAATAAATGGTTTATAGATGAATTAACATCACTGACAAAATTGTATTGAAAAAAATAGTGAAAAACACGAATGCATATGAAATGAAAATATAAGTGTGGAGTTGAGAAAACTGGTCGATGACGCCACATTTTGAAACATTTGTAAAACTACCGATTTTGAAGAAATTGTCTTGCCTCATTAATACTATGATTATCACAATGTAATATTGTGTCATAGGAGAAATTAGAAATTACAATATCTAACTCTTACTTATCACAATTTGTAATTGTGTATCACATAAGCTTTAATTCATCATACAACTTCTAAATCTTGCAGATGATAATATCAACTTTTTGAGAAATCTCGTTGTTAGTAAAGGTAACAATACTTAACATGCGACACTCGTTTCGTTACTTTTTTAATCTCAAATGTGCTGTGAAATTTTAATTTATGAAAAACGATATTTGGATGAAACGTTTTCGTATTTAATTTATCATTTTATCAACTATTTGCTAAGTCTCATCAAACGACTTATTTTTCTTTGTGAATACTTGGTAGTTTTTATCAAAGAAGCTGAAATTGCCGATTTCTTTTTTTCTTGCAAAAAAAAAAATTAATTCTTATCCAAACACATGTCTGTTAAAAGTAAAGTTCTTTTCTATTCGGCAGAACTTTATGTTCGTTATTTTATATCGAATTTCAATTTCGTATACCGATAGTTTATTTACTTGATAGATCCAAAGAACTACTATAATGGTTTCTTGTCATCAGTAATACATATTAGTTTAATACAATCAAAAAATTTATTCGAATATGTATGCCAAAAGTTGTATGCAAAACTTATTTTTGTTGACTACACAATGCTTGAATTCAATATTCAAAAGCAATCAATAAAGAACAGAAATACTTTATCACTAGAACCGGATTCAATTCCGAGGATGAATATAGCTTCACATATTTTTGAAGTTTAATGCGAATCCTTAATGTCTCCACAAACTAATTAGGATGTAGATAATTTGAGACTATATGGCTAATATCTTTGAAATTCGGGGTGAAATATCCTGTTGCGTCATTTCGTTGTCAAATCACTAAAAATTTTTCATCATGGCGAAATATTTTTCAATAGAAATGCTAATTCTAAGAGCAATCAATTTCTATCAGATATTAATTCTGTCTCAGAATGAAATATTTCACTGAATTTAACAATTAGTTACTAACAATATCACTTCTCTGTTTATGAATAATATCATGCAATGTACAATGGTCGTATGGAGCGAAATACAATTCATTACGGGTACACTTAGGTCGATAGTACAACCAAAGGATTCCGTTAGTTCGGTTGTTCAAAAAATTTCTTTCTGAATTTTGTTTCATTCCAGTTTTAAATCTAATCAGGAAAAAGGAAAGCACTTCATTCAAAAAGATTTGTTCTGGAAAGCTTTCCAACTACCGAACTCAGTAATTGAATTTCAAGGTTGCTGCTGAGAACAGTTCTTTAAATATACTTAGTAGACCATCTCAAAAATTAACATTTAAAAATCAGTTTAAAGAATTACTAGAAATGAGTTGCAAAATATTTAGAACTTTCTTCTTTTCTTCAAAATTTTGCTTTTAGCGTAGAAGCATATTTTAAATTCTTGTTTCTCTGCTTGAAATCACTTCAAGAAAAAAAATCTATGTTTTCAAAATAAACTTCAAAAAAAATCAAAATAAACTTGAAACTGAGAAAAGAATATTTTCAAATTCCCAATACGGATATCGAACTTCTGCAACTGCGTGATTTTCCAACCCTCAAAACATCGGCCGACTTCCCTTTCTAAAAGGATTTGCACCGTTAGTAAAATTATTTAATTGAAGGTCTTTGAACAAATTGTCCTCTTCCATTCCACTGGAAATTAAAGTTTTTAATCATATGGTTAAAAGAGTTTTAATTAAATTAAATTAAGTACGTCACGATCGTTTTATAACCAAACTAGTAGGCAATTCAGAGCAAGTAGTTAAAGTGAACGCATTCTATGGACATAACATATTCTATCTAAATCTGTAATCGATACAAATATTTGATCAGATACGGAGGAATACGATTTATTCAAACATTTGAATTTCTTTTTTTTTAATTTCATTATGTATATTGCGACGTTTAGCGATATAAAAACAATTTTTCTCACTCTCGACTTTTATTTGAATTGGCAGAGCTTTTGAACTTAAATGTAAAGCCTTAAAAATAATTAACTAGATGAAAGTTTCTAATTAAGTTTCATCAAAAATGAATTGAATCTAATCAATACGACATCAATTGTAGCTGTCATCATAAATCCCTACGATGATAATCGATAATAATCAAATCCCTACCATAATCGATAATAATGATAATCAAAACTAACTTTTGCATTGCATAACCAATAGCGCATATATTTTTTTCCTCATACTATTTCGTTGATGTTCTTCTGTTAGCATGTACTCTTTGGTGCAAAGGGAGTGTGAGTACCAGGTAGGATTCGTGAAACACGTCACCTCACACTGCATGCATGCAATAATCGAGGAGAGTGACACGAATGGCAACAGGGAGAAAATTGCAGATGTTGATGATGCTTCACAGTCACGTTTAAACAAAATGGAGAGGAAAAGATGACTCATTGAGGGGGGAAGACGAATTTTCTTTCAAAACATGCATTCATTGCACAGGCATTGCTTAGGCCTTCCTTTCAATAGAAATGACGGAATATTTGTCATTTAGGATATGTTATATATACATATATGTATGCGTTAAACCTGGATATTGTTGACATTACGGGTAACATCGGGTATCTTCCCGTGGGTAACGCTCATTCACACTTACAGAAATGCAGAAATAGACGCCCAGACGTATAGAGTACAGAGAACAATAGACGGAGAGACCCCCCTCCACCTCTCCTTCCCCCCCCCTCCCCCGTTTGCTGTCCGCACTCCCGCCGGGTCACAGATCGCATCTATAAAAGAGTGGGTTTACAACTGAATGATGATTCATTTTCTGGTGGAACGCTTCCCAAGAAGAATGTTCATCTGCTTAGTTGTGGTAGTTGTCGAGATTGATTACGACCCATAGCTAGGCCCTTTGTGAAGCTTTGTACTTCGGCTAAGGTGCTGCTACGGTTACGGGACAACACCTTGGCTAGGTACAATGCTCAACATATCGGCTACCTTCCCTTTAGGGTATCATTCATCCATAATTAACCTTGGCATAAAGTTCTTCCTTATCATCTATCAAATGGCCCACCCATTTCATCAACGTTTTTTTTGTTTTCAAACCAAGGCACTATATAATAAATTAAGACAATAATGCCACTTGTTGCTCATTCATTTTTTATAATCCCTCAACTTATGCAAGAATGACGAAAAAAGAAACATTTTAAAAAAAGGCATATTCAGCTCACGAAAATTTATCCGTTTCACAAAGCTTTAAACTTTTTCCAAAGTTAAAATTCTCAGAATTAAAATTCAAATTGCAATTCTTCTGTAATTCCGTTCAAAATTCCCGGCAGATATTCGATATTCCTTCTTGTCTTTTTCATCATAATAACTTCACATTAATATTCGTTCTTCAACGGCTTTAGTCTTTTCTTTTTGGAATATCTGCTTGCTATATAGGAAAACTAAAGCTATGACAAAACATCCAAATGTCGCATTTGTCCATATGTTTTAATACATTGCTCTAATTGCGTTTGTGTTTATTTGTATGTATGTGTCTATGTGTCCTGCTACAATTAGCTAAGTCTTTGCATTTTTAAAAACTTGCCAAGAATCCATGCATTGTTATACAGCCAGAATATGTCATGCTACATCATACTATTTCTTTGTTATTTGTTATTGTTGCTTGTGATTATTTTGAAAAGCAATTTAAAATTTTGACATTAATCAATCATACAAATAAAAATAAAAAAGCGCAAGAAAACAAAAATGTCATGAGAATAAGCGGCAGGGACTTAGCTTGACTAGACAATAATGAGACAATAATGATTCATTTGGACGGATAATCATGGCCAAATATACTAGAAGGAAATGACGAGTTTTCATATTTTCTTTTTAATAATGTTTTAATTTCTTATCCAAAGAAAAATATTTTATATAATAGCAAAAAAAAAAAAAAAAGAACAAAAACAAAAACATAAAAAAAAAAGAAGGAAAAAACATCATTCGTGATGATACTTAATCCGCTTAATGTAAAAATATTCCCATATTGATTGGCCTATGATTCATTTGTACGGCACAATTTTTATTTCATTAATTTTCATTTTATTTATCCTTTTTTTCTCCCCCAACTGCAACAATTCTTAAAATTTCACTTACTGTCTATATCATTCTGAAATTAAATAGTCAATTGATTTCTTCATAAATGAATTGAAAAATTCACAAGTCAAACTGTATTACTAGGTGAAAAAAATAGATTCATTCGAGTGAGCAAAATACCACAAGCATTAACTGACAAAATTAAAATTCCTGTTTAACTTATTAAGGAGGCAAAAAAAAAAAGTTATTATTCAATCAACATTGAACGTTTTTTGTAACATATTGACTGTTCACTACAATATATACTTATGAGTTGAAATTATGGATATTAGGCATTTTTTTTAGATTGGCAGGAAAAAAAAAAAAAAAAACTAAACAAAATAAGCAAGCGGAAGAGAAAATAAGTGAGAGGACAACTGTATGACTCATCAACAGCACAGTTTTATTTTTTATTTACGTTAGAAGTGCAACTTCTACAGAACAATTCACGATTGGTTTCTCGATATTGATGCCGTTGTAATGGTGAGTTAATGGATCCCCACCGATCGTTTGAACACCATTCAACAGCCAGCTTAATAAAGATTGCGCAAAGTGATCATAGAGATTGAAAAAGTTTATTTTCCAGATATGATTATCTTTATCTGCTTATCGATTTCTATTAACTAAAATTAAACTATAGAAAAGCATCAAATGTTACACTATGAGTTTTTTATTGAAATGATAAATTAAGTTGCAAATTTGAGTTATTTAGAACAGTTTTGTTGTGCTTTTCCATTATTTCAATATTCGCTTTACGCTTTTCTTGTGTGTATTGTGTATTTTAATTAATATTTTATTTATCTTGTAGAAGCTATTCCTCTTTAGTTCCTACAAGCTATTTCTCTTCGAATAAATTAATTTCTGATCATGTCGACTTGCCATGTTAAAATGAAAGGTATCATATTCGGTTGGATAACATTTTAAAAAGAAAAATTGAGTGTGGCTAATTAATCGCAACGATTTGTGTTAGAAATGCTAAAGTTACAGATTTTTCTTAAAATGGTTTATCCGAGGGAAAATTTGCCTCCACTCATCAAATATATAAGAAAGCTATGTACTTAAAAAAACAAAAAAATGTGAGTTGAAATAAAATATGGCATAAAATTCGAATTTAAAAGGTAATTGGTAATTAACATATTATTTTTATTTGGCGTAATGCTAGCTATACGGAGAAAGAAATTGACTTATTTCAAGAGATTTAAACATTTGCTAAGAAAGTGTGATATTTATTTCACTGTAGCGAATATCAACTCAGTCAATCAAATGGATATGACGTTTTTCGTTCACTGATTTGTAACATTAAACATTAAAGGATCAACAAAAAAAGTAGTCAACAAAATGGTCATCATATTATATTACTGATTTCAACTTATTCCTTTATTAACAACCACATAAACAATATATGTCACTGTAGCAATATAGTTACATAAATATGTAATTGAACTTGAAGATAGTAAAAAGGTTACAAAAACCTTCCATGAATTCTTGAAAGCAAGTTATGATCAGAAAAGAAAAAAAACATCGCTGTGACAAACTTCCTTAGGAAACATTAGGAGTCATCATGGTCGTCTATTTTTTCCATGTCAAATTTAACGCCTTTTTATGATATAATGAACTGAAGAGTTAATTAGAAGCAATTTGTACTATCAATGCAATTCGTAATACGTTAAGTTTCACTAATATGAATACTTAATGTATAAGTAAAGTTTTCAGCATTTTACTCCTATTTTCTTGTAGCAATTTTCTTTTTGATGTTATTTGATCAAATTTAATAAATTAATAGCATTTCACAAGAAATCACTGTAGCACGTTGAAATCTCCTTTATTAGTTATGGCACTCTAATTTACAAACATCACAGTCTTATTAATTGATTCAGTATAATAATGAAGGTATTGGTTAGTTTGTTGACAATATCACTAGATGAAACGAATCATTATTAAATCTAATCTAACAAGCATGAATGCCGCATGACTTGCCATCACAATCAAGGACAATTTTATATGCAAAATTTCTTCAAACATATCTCTCAGTGTTTTTTTTTTTCAATTTTTTTAGCTAATCAAAGGAGTAAAATTGAAAAATCATTAAATCATAGCGTGATGAAGTAAATCGACAATACTTTATAGTGTGATGCTCGAAATAAGCCATATATTATTTATTTCTTGGCTATCAGTGCAAAGAATACCAGTTCACCAGTTTGCAATTCATTGTGAGGATGTCGTATGAGGCTCTTCCGCTTCTACCGCTATCGCCGTTGCACCAAAATACGGGAGAGTGTTAGAGGCGGAAGCGGTATCGCGACTGCATCAGCAATTGTTAAAGTGCTCTTAACGAGAATCCATTTGATGCTTTAAGGCACATTCACTTGTGACTGCCTAAATGAATAAATAAATAATAAATGAAATGCGCTAAGAGGAATTATTTATATTCCTAATATAACATGTTAGGTGACTGACTCACTGTTTGTTTTATATCTATTTCTATATATACATAAATATAAGTGTATATATATTATATAAAACTTTATATATATATATAACTATGTATATATAATGTGTGTGTGTGTGTATTAGTCAGTCAGTCAGTCATCTAGGGACAAGCGAATGTGGGATGTGGAATAGTTTGAAAAAGGGCAGATGTTAGTCGGAGTTCGCCAGAAGAATCTTACTAAATGGAACACACCTCAAATATCCAGCGGAACTAATGAAGCAGCTGATAGGGACCATTAGATGGTGAGAATGAAATGGATGCTATTGGCTACTAGTCTAAACAATGCTTTCTTAAAGATTGAAGCAGAAATGGGGTAGGTGAGAGAGTTGTGAATTGAAATGCGGTAAAGCTATAACAGAATGGAAAGGAAAGTTTGCGGAAAAGGAGGAGGAAGAGGAGACGGAGAAGGAGATATGAAGAATAGACGTAACTCGATGGTATGTATAGATTGAAGCCAAAGCAGCAACAACAGCATCTAATACGTCAGATCGATCTTGTGTGAATAGAGGCCTTCAGCCCATTTTCAAAATCACTAGGCCAGTTATTTGTATGTTGTTCGTTCTTCTACTTCGTCCTTCTAGCATAGTCCTTTGTAGGCTCATCCTTATCATCATTCGTTCTTGCATCAAGGCTAGCTAATTACTTCTTCCTTCTTTAATTTCCCTCGTTTACCCAACTTTTTACTGTTTCTACAGGACAAATATTAGTTTTTTTTTTTTTTTTTACTTTCGTTTTCAAAAGTGCATGTCTCTTATTCATCCAACCATTTCGTTAATTCATTTACATTTGCTTCATGATATTGCATTTCCCTATTATCATCATCATCATCATCCATTTCAGTTTCCTTATTAATATTTTCCTATTATTTTGATGTCATGCTTCGTTTTCCTTTCTACACTTATTTTCAACTTCAGTAAAAACAGTCAAATAGTTTTACTTTGGCGACCTCTTCTCAAACTCATTTTTCTATTTTAAACACTCGAAAGTTTCGAAGTTGGAAGGAAAAAAAATGCTTCAGTGCAAAATGCGAAAATATTGGTTTTAATAAACCAATATTTACTTCAATACATGATATGAAAATCGTTTGAATGAATATGGGGCCTGGTTAATAGTACTCTGGCTAAATAGCTTGCCTTGAAATGCCAAGAACATACAGGGTGGAATTATTCCTTATATAACATCTATTCACTTTTTCATTCTAGTTTTCAGAACTTTAAATGTATTATTATCTTGCAGAGATTAAAAAGAATTAATGAGATAGTTTAAGTCAATATTACAAGAATGCATTGTACAATCTCTATAAAATGAGGTAGACACTGAGCAATAATTAAACAAGGATCAGTTTGGCATGAAATGTTCCTTAAAAAATCGAAGAATACTACAAGAAGACAGTTATTTAGTTTAAGCCCAAACATTGCAAACTATCCTGTTACTTCTATTTTCAATAATAGTAATTATGAATTGTTAATTAGGGATAGCTTAACTGACTTCAAATGTAGCAAATCAAGTATGATAAAATGAACAGTGAACAAAATAAAATTATAAAGATTAGCATAAATATAAGTGAGTTCATGAAAAAAGAAAAGCATTTCAGTTAGCTGCAACAGTTAGCAGTTGTAAGAGTTTATAAATTATGTATTATTAGTTATGAAATATTGGACTGATAGTGGTGCATCGGAAGTTATAACAACTGGTTGTTACAAGCAACCGTGATTTTGGAAATGTTACCTGTCTAATTAATGGTCAGAAAATGGAGGACAAGAGGTAATTGATAGGAGACAGTGTATCTTACTCACCACCATACTTTTAAGCGCCATTTATTCATTTTGAATTCAAAAAGAATTAACAATCTTTTTTTAAAATTGTATAAACACATAGCAGTGATCAGATCGTTTCATATATCCATAATTTTTTTTCTTTATTTTCCTTGATATCCTCCATATTTCTGTATTCTTAATAATTTCGTTATCAGTTTTGAAAACTGACAAATGATAAGATGAAAACACATCTATAGCATTCAAGATAAATTGCACCGTGGATATATTTCGGAGATAGAATATTTGTTACATTGAAAAAAAAGGTGTGCAAAGCGATTAAACATGCTTAATGGTGTTGCATACATAAGTCAGGTTATCCTATAATTGCTTATATAATCGACATACACATTTTGCACTGAGATATCAAATCACTGATATGTATCATCCTCTCATCTTTTAGTCTTAACATCATTTCATTCCTCAAATCCTCTTCATCATCACTTTCAATCAAATGAGATTCATCACCAATTCAATTATTCACAAATATATTGCAAATGTTCTCACATCACTTTTTCTTTTCTGCCATTAAAATCTTACTCAAAATTTTAAGCAAAATTTTCAAATGGTTTCCCAGTGGTCCATTAATATGACAAGCCTCTTTCTCTTTGAAAAATCGATAATATTAACTGAAATTCATGTGCAGCTTTATGCTTTTTTTTTCCTCGAATTTGCAGCAGATTTAATGATTCACCATGTGTTAAAGAAAGCATTCAATTTTATCACAAGGCAATGATGAATCAAATTGGTTTTAAACGTCTCAGTAAGTAATACTAAACATTAGAACAAGAACAATTAAGATAAAGGCGAAAAGGAAAAAGGCAATATTTGCAATCACTTCCGAAGCATTCTAATATCTGAAATGTTATAATGTGTAACGGGTAAGATGTTAAATGATATTTTAAAATGTAATTTAATCGAAAAGAGCGTATTCTTTACTGGTGTCTTTTACTTTACTGTAAATAATTTTAGTAACACGAATTTCACAACACCGTCATATTGCATCTCTGTTGGGTAAATAGCAATATAACAATCCGAAAAAGCATTATCTTGAAAATAGGTTATGACTATTTTCATCATATACTCGAATTCATCAGAATCTTGCAAATCCATTCTGGAATCATTGTCCCAAAACGATCAGTGATACAAAAATAGGTTATATTTATTCTTATACTATATTCAAACTCATCAAAATCTTGTAAATTCATTCAAAATTAGCATATCAATCGTTGATTATTTTAAAACGATGAATTTAATTGAAATTTAACTTATAATTGTAGAATATTTCTATGTCTAAGGACTAAAGATTGATTAATCGATTTTTTCTTCCAGTCTCCTTGTTTTTGTAATATGTTTCATTCCCTTCAGAATTAAAAGATTTTGGATCATTTGAGCAAAAAATGGTGTGATAAGAAGATAAAGAATAGCGGAAAGTTGTGGATTGGTGGACTGTAAAGAGGCGATGCTATTGTATTATTTTGCTAGTGCTGTTAAATCAATACAATTTCATGTGGACGATGATATTATCGATAAACTAAACTACTACTATACCACTTCAATCATTACTGGTAATTTATTATTCATATTAGTTATTTTGTATTAACATAAAATATATGTATGGTAGGTATATATACATATGTATGATAGATATCCGATTGTAGTCAATGTAGTAGCAGGTTAAAATATATGCTTAGAATAGGCATTAGCTTTTTTATTAGCATCTCATAATTGTTTTCTTCTATTTTCCCTTTTAAAGCCTTTCGATTCTAACTTAACTTAAAATGTAACAGTAGTAGTGTGCATTAAGTTTAACGATATTTACTTGAGTTATATAACCACCTCTTCTAATTATTAATTAATGATCTTCAACATTTTCAAGCTACTTTTTCATAGCTTTCAAATAAAAGTTTTTAAGATTCCTTTTTTATTTCTTCTTTTTTTTTTTTCGCAATTCAAACTTTCGCTTTTCTTTAATTATTAGCATCTCATAATTCTTTTCTTTTTCCTTTTAAAGCTTTTCAATTTTAACTTAATTTAAAGTGTATTCAAGATTATAAAACGACTGGTAGAAAATTAAACATTTAAAGAAATATTTCAAAGTAAAAAAGAGAGAAAAAGAATAAAATGAAGTATGCATTGATATTTTTCTTTTCATTGTGAATAATGAGAATGTTAAGGCAAAACAATTGGTGTTATATACAGCATAGTATTAACAAATGAATTGAATAGTGCGAGTATGAAGCAATCAGCGGAAGCATTTCAAGTGAAAGTAGTCACTTTTTTTCATAGATAAAAAAGAAATCATTAAAACGAACTAATTATGTCCTTTTTATCTCACCCCCTCCAATTCTTTTTTACAGTACGAGTGGACAGGTCTATAAGTTATGCTTGAAATTATTGTTTACTAGAACTGAATGGAAAACAAGCAAAAAGTGAAGTACTGAAATTATATCAATGCGCAGTTAACATTCGTTTTAATATAAATAAATATGAGATAAAATTTTAAATTTGAATTTTTCTAAAATTTGATAAATGAAATAATCTTTAATGAAATAATCTCTTAATTACGCTATTTTAATTTTTTTTTCATTATTTCAAAAATCTAATTGCTGAAATTTACTATATTTTATAGTAAAGTATCAAATAATCCAAATGAGGTTATTGAAGAGTTGAAAAAAAAAATGTTTAGTTACATCATCGGAAATAGAAATAGCTCTTTGCTTAATAAATATCATAAATAGCTTTATAACTTACAAATATTATGAAAAATAGATAAATATGAGGTTAAAAAATTGAACTGATCTTCCCATTGAATTATTGTATATACATTTTAGTGTTCGCTATTCTTGTATCTGCGAAGCAGTATGTTGGTAAGTTACTCTTTCTCAATTTACATCTGATATGTTTGATAGTAAGTATTACTTAGTAATGATTTATTACTTTCAAATTCTCCATTCCATATCTTTCAATTTGTATTCCGTATATGTTATGTGTCATTATGAATTAAAGATTATTTCTATTTTAATATCAAAGGAATAATGCCATAACTATTAAAAATGATTACTTTTTTTTTTTTTCATTCTCAATCTCATAAATAATTGTTAATCATTTCTTAACTTATCTAGGTTTCCCGATACAGTGCTGGGTACCTGCAACGTTTACAGAACCAATGGAACAGTATACAGAAAATTATTGTTGGGTACAAAATACATATTTTCTACCCTTGCACGATTATATTCCTCATAATTATGCTGAACGAGAAAATAGGCAAATTGGATATTACCAATGGGTACCATTTGTACTTGCTTTGGAAGCACTCCTTTTCTATGTACCTACAATCGTTTGGAGGCTACTTAATTGGCAATCAGGTTTATTGCACACTAATTATTCATTCTACAATTGATACATTTATTGCTTATTAGGTGATAGCATTTGTGCTAAATTACATTTTCATTTTAATTAGCATTACTTAATATCTAAATTTGCACAAATTTTTCTTATTCAAAATTATGAGAATTACAATAATTTTTCACTCCTACCGTATGACAATTTTTATGCTTTTGAAGAGCAAACAAGATAACGCAAAAAATTATTTCCCGAATTTTGATTTTCCATCTAATGAATGCTTCTGAATTCCTCATTTTTCATTTTGCATATTCAATTTGCTCGTTTTTCGTTTGCTAAATTAATTTTCAGGCATCCATGTGCAATCATTGGTGCAAATGGCATGCGATTCACGATTGTTGGATTTGGATTCCAGAAATAAAGCCTTGCAAACGATTGCTACAAACGTTGAGGAGGCACTTCATGTGAAACATCAAGTGGTTCGTTTATTTCATCAACTTATTAAGTTATTATTTCAGTTTGCTAGAAATTGTCAAAATTTTCATGTATGTATCACTTGTTATTTATGATTGCTTTAAATTTGATTTCTTAAACACATCTTTGAAATGATGCTGGCATAATGCTTTTGATTTTTAACAGCTTTATATTGTTCGAAGGAACAAGAACTGCTTATACTTTTGCATTTTGAACCTAACAAGTTTCTTTCAGATGGGTGGAAATCGATTGAAATTATTAAATTTGATTATTTGTACCCGTAGTAGTGGCGCCGCTGTAACATTTTTGTACATTTCGGTGAAAATCCTTTACACGGTAAATATCGTCGGACAAATTTTCTTGCTCAATACATTTTTGGGCAATCGTAGTAAATGGTATGGATTACAGGTTGGCTTTCGAAATATGCATTCTTTTCGACAAATTTCAGAGCTGTTTAAATACTTTAAAACACACACTGTTAAATGTAAGCTGATTTATAAGTTTCCGCCATTTAAATTCGTTTCATCGTTTTTTTTTTTTTTTTTTTTTTGCTAATGAGCATAACTACGATGAGTAATTATCAAACCATGGAAATTTGCAAAAAATTTCCCTCTTTTTTAGAAAAAAATACTTTTGCTTATTGGAAGATGAATAAGTTAAATCATCGTTCTTTCTTTTTCAAAATTATAAGTTCTGAAAATTTAAGATTGCCTATACATACGAAACACTGAATATTTGAAATGTCAAGTTTTAGCGCTACCTTTGTAAATATTATAAATATCCAAGCTAAGAATCATCACGAATAACTTCAGTAATTATAAAAGAATAGGAAAAATAATTGCAGTGAAGTTCACCTAACTGTGATGTTTAACAAGTTAATGAAAGATTATTAATCATGAGAATAATAAGAAAAAATAATGATTCATAACAATAATAAGATTCATTTGACAGGTGTTGAATGATTTGATGAATGGACGAGAATGGGAAGAATCTGGTCATTTTCCACGTGTGACATTGTGCGATTTTGAAGTGAAAGTAAGTGTTTACTTTTTGTGGGATATTTATGCGCATAATTATATGCAAAATATTTCTATTTTATACATTAGGTTAAATGGAAACATATAAAGTTGGAAGTATGTAATTATACAATACATTGATTTGATTCGCCTATTTATTAACTTAAAAACAATCTTATCAATATAAGTTCGCGTAATATCTGTGCGAACCTGTCAGCTACATGTAATAATTTTTGTTTCTAACTTCGATATGTAATCATATCATCTTCAACAACTGGAACAAAAAAATGCTTTTTCATTAGGAACGGATGATGTCATTATTTGAAAAGATGATGCTTCTTTGCTTTGTTCCTTTTTGTTATTTAGCAAGTTTTATGCAGTAGTTAAATACATGTCAAAAAATCAATGAATTTTAATTGAACTCAATTTAAATTGATTTTATTCGATTGTATCACATTGAAATTATTCAGTTCTTTTCTTTTCAATTCACATTTTTTTAAACTTTTTTCACTTTTTTTTTGTAGGTACTTGGCAATGTTCATCGACATACCGTACAATGCGTTCTCATGATCAATATGTTCAACGAGAAAATATTCCTCTTTCTATGGTTTTGGTATTTCTTGCTAGCTGGTGCTACAGTTTGTTCTCTTTTGTATTGGATATATATTTCCATTGTCCCTAGCAGGTTCATTTTCTTTTTTTTTTTTTTCTCTCTCTCTCTCAAATATTTTATATTAACTAAACCAACTTTGTAATAAATTACAAATGCCATTTACTAGACTTCTCCGTAGTTTTTTGATTAGTATATCTTGTTTATTTAAGCTTCATCAAAATAGTTAGACTTCTTTATTCAATCATAGTACCTTCAGCAACTGAAACAAAACACTAAATGATATTTGAAATACAATTTGAAAACTGACATAAATATTCAAGTTATTCTATCTAGACTCATATTATAATGCTATCATCTTTAATCTGTTATATTTCATTTAGTCAGCCAACTTCATTCAGCTTATTAGAAGTGTTTAAATACTTTCGTTTTTGAAGTAATATCTACTTGATCATTATTCTCAGCAGTAATCTCTCAACTAATAACTAGCATGTATTAGATATCAATTACAGGCAATTGAATTTTGTTGGAAAGTATCTGACAGGCATTGAAGGTTACAAAATGGTAGACAGTCAATCACTACGACGTTTCGTATTTCATTTCCTTAGACAAGATGGTGTTTTCTTATTACGTATGGTTGCAACACATGCAGGGGAGTTACCGTGTTATGAACTTGCTAAAACTCTTTGGAATAAATACTGTGATAATAAGGAAGGGAAAATGCATGATGTGTAGCAAGGCAACTTTTCATTATTCCAAAAAAGAAAATTTTTTTTTTGTTAAATAAATTCTTGGATTAAGTTATCACTTCTATGTGTCTTATTCAAGTTCAAAAATAATGAATATTAATGAAATTAGCAAAATTTTTATGTAGAAAAATAGCATTCAATTTTTTTTTCTTTGGGAAGAGACAGTTATCACACAGTATACTCCTTATGAAGTTATCATACAGTATACTCCTCATATTTATGTCTTATTAATCATGTGGCTCCGAGCCTCCGTTGCGAATCTATCGAAGGATACAGATGCGAAAGCGTTTGAATTTCAAGCTCACGCATACGTATCACAATTCTGCATCGTTAACGCTAGACTCGGAGCATTTCTTCCATTCACTTATCACTTTCCTCAGTAACACTCCCTCCATGATCATGTCCAATGTTATGTGATCAATAGCATTTAGCAGGTGCTGATCTTGCTGTTATTTATTGAATTCTTTAAAGGAATTACTTGCAAACAATTTATTATTGTTTAATTTTTCATGAAATTTTAAAAATACCTAAAAAACTGATAAAAACTTCGAATTTTATCTGATGAAATATACCAGGAAAGAGGAAATAACTATTTTTTTACTTCTTTTTAAAGTATATAATTCTATCTTTTTCAACCAATTCTGGCAAAATTTTGGAAAATTTTGGTAGGAAAATTACACCGAGGAAGACAAATGCGCAACATATATTCAGATCGAGTTGCGATAATGAAAAATTGAATTGAGCAAAATTCGATTAATAGCAATATATCGTTTTTCGTCTTTTTTCTTTTTGATTTTCTTCCTATTTCTGAGGTTTAGTTAATTTGCTGCCTACCAATGTTCTTTCCATTGTTTCATTCTTTCTTTTTAAGTAAAACTGGTTCAACATTTCCATCATTATATCAACAATTGCATATGATATAAAACTCGTTTTAAAAAAAAATTCAAGTAATATTTGGATTCAATTATTTTATCGTTTTGCTAATCTTCATAATTTTTTTGTGATTATGATGCATATAAAGGGAAAGAGAAATAGTATAACTCATTTATTTGGATGCTAGGGATGATAATTGATAAATGTCTATTTTTTAAGTTGAAGTAACAGTAGAGAAAAAATCTTATATTTATACAAGTTAGAATAGCTTTTAATAAATTATTTCTAAACAGTAAAAAATATTTTTATGATAGTTACTGTTGCCTGTTTATTATTAGAGCCGAAATACAGAAATTTATTTATTCTCAAAACTGTATATGACTTATAATTCTAAAAAAATCAACTTTTAAGATTGAAATTTTGTTTACAATTTGGGTAATATTACATGTCAGCTTGAATTACTAATAAATGGTTACTCATAGCAAAGATATGTTAAACAGAAATTTGTTGTATATATTTTTTTCCTTTAAAAAAATCTCGTTATTTTTTAGGTAATACTTGAAAGATGTGTTATAAATGGATAGATTATTTGCTTTTTTCTTTAACCATTTATTACAGAAAATCAACGTTTTCAGAAAATGAAAAGAAAACAACATTATTTTTCTTTTAATTATTAAAAATAAATGAAGCTTGTGTTCTTGTGATATTTCATGTTAATTTATGCAGATGTCTTGACAGTAATAAAAACCACTTTCATTTTTGAAACAGATCAGTGTTTATTAGAAAGCATTATTAGCAATAAAATCATTTAAATTATACACTATAACTATCCAACAACAATAACAGTGTCAACTGGAAAAAAAAAATACAGGTTAGGACTCGTTTAGGATGAATCAAGATACTAGATTCTATGTTTCATCTTAACAAGTTTCATAATAATTTCAACATGCCAGAATAATTCAATTATTCATTTAGCAATAAAATCATTAACTTATAGCTATACTATCCATCATAATTCACTGTTGAGCAGAAAATATTTATCATCGCTTAAGTTATTGAAGATAAGCAAGCTTAGATGAAATGTTTTTGAAATAAAAATGTAAAAATTATTGGTAAAAGATTGGTTAGTCTTTTTTTTTTTTTTCATTTACGCAAGAGACGAATATTTCGAATATTTCAAAAAAATCGAATTCTATCAATAATGCTCACCAATTTTTATTATTTATTGAATTGCCTTTTAAAATTTTGCCTTTTCATTACTGTGCTTAAAATGCCTGGAAAATTATCAATTTCAGTTTTTCTTATTAATAACATAGCTTGAAATAATACAACAATCATGGATCAGATTGCTCTGTGTGCGCGTGTGTATACCTTCCAGGTATGTGGTTATCGATGTATATAGAAGAAAAACTTGTCACATTGATGGTCGCTCACCGACCCAGATCTCCCTAAAGATGTAATACATTCTTCATCTCAAACAGACACACATACACACACACACACACACACATACACATACACATACATACATGCATACACATACACAGATACATGCACATGTATTATCGAAACGAATAATTCCATTGAATGTAAATGGCGACGTACTATTTGAGTGTCATCACAACAGCCTTACTTCACTTTACCAAACTTTCCCATGGTTTTGATGTACCTTGCACACGTAAGTTATTATAACGAAATTCATTAAGCTTTTCATTATATCATCCCTTTTCAGTTATGCGAAAATATTTCCGGATAACTTTAATAAGTAGAAATGATAGTAGTAATAATATTTAATATGCTAACGTTTTAAGATATCACAGGGAGAATTTCAGAGATTGGATATTAATTAGACTGGTGTTGTAATGATACCGATTATAGAGAAACTGATTGGTAGTAAGTGCTTATTTGATGAAGATTGTTATGGTATGAATAGTGTTTGCCGGGAACAGCGATGTACATGTCCAACAAATTTCGAGGAATTTGATATTGATGGACAGACGACTATATGTAGATTAGGTACCATTGACCTTTTTTTTTTTTAAATTTTCACTCGAATGTGACATTAAAATGATTTATGATCAAGTAATTTATGAAAATTTTCTTTGGTTGATATAATTAATATAAAAAATTTCTATCTCACTTTTTTTTTTTTTTTGAAATTAAACATTGTTATCAAAACTTTTTGGTGGTTTTACAAATTTTTAATCACTAAATTCTCCAATTCATTTATTAATTAATATTTTTAATAGTTCTTAGCATTTGACGATCAATTTTGTTCAGCACCGAATAAAATTGGTGACAGCTGTCAGCGAGATTGCAAACCACCGCTTCTTTGTCGAGATGGGAAATGTGAATGTTGGGGTGGGAGTATTATAAACGGAAAATGTGTTGTATGTAAGCTTTTCCATGTATAAATTTTAAATTTCTAAAATTTTTTTCTTGCATAAATTTTATTCCATATGCTGGAGAATGTTTAGAGCTATATACTTTTCAGCTTGCCCATCAGGGCAGCAGTTATACGGAGTGGAATGTCAGAAAATAGCACATTGGGGACAAAGTTGCGAAAAGGACAACCAGTGTGTTGATGTCTTCAATGCATGTATCGCTGGAGTATGTCAATGTGCGCCCGGTACTACACGTGATGTAACCAAACAGCGATGTTTTGCGTGTATATTTTGAAAGAAATTTAATTTCATCTAATTAATACAATTTAACATTTCTATCCATAGCTTTCTTCAAGAAAACATCAAAGATAAGAAAGTGATTTCAAACATCTTCTAATGTTAAGTTTTATTTCACAGCATTACTTTCGTATTAGTTTTCCAAAGAAAAAAATTTGAGAAAAACTTGAAACTAGCTTTTTTTCATACTGTGCAGTGATTTAAAATGCATCATTTCATATATTCGAAATGAAATTTGGTTGAAATCATCATTGCTTAAAGTTATATAAAATATGCAAGAAATTGAAGCGAACTTGTAATTCCTTCCAATCAAAGATCTTCAGTATGTCCGGATGGAACAGAACCTCAACAAGCTTGTCGACGTCTTTTTATCAATGATATTGATATGCTCGAAAATGCTGCATCAACAGATAGCTGTCCTTTGGGTTATCGATGCGTAGTATACGGCAGTCCGTACGTCGGACATTGCTGCAAATTGAAATGTCCTTATGGAGAACCTGATCTAATGTGTGCTATATTCTTTATCGTAATTCTTCTTTTAGTAAATTTAAGAAAAAATTTATTTCGAGTTAAAATTTTCTGTTTATCCCCATGAATATTACAATTAATTATATTAGAAATGAACCACTATTTCCAAATTTTAAGGCAGTCATGCGATATGGGCGTCTCCGAGAAACATCGATGTCGACCACTTACACATCATTGTTACACAATCTCAGAGCCTGGCTGGAAAACGAGTTTATGTTGTCCAAAACCATGTCGTGATCCCACTCCGCTTTATATTAATAATCAATGTTTAAGCATAGCGCATAGAGAGGATCCTTGTCAACTTCATCAACAGGTCTTTTTTCTTTCTTTGTCATTCACTTTATCAGTTTGCTAATTTTGCCTTAGCTTATTTAATTAAATTTATTTCAACAAATGATGAGTGTCTGAAGAGTGCATATTAATTTAAATAATATTCAATAGATTAAAATAATTAGTTATTACACTAATTTCTAATTTCAGTGTGAAGGTGGTGTAACTATGCATTGTATCTTAGGATTTTGTCAATGCAAAGATGGCTTTCACCCTGTAAGTTCCGTTTAAATTTACATTTAATAAGTATTCGTCCAGATACTTTCAAATATTTGACAACTCGAATCTAATAGTGCAAGCTAAACAATAAATACTGAAGTTGATAGCATGCTAGAATATTTTTATTGATATTCATCTTCACCTAAAAATTGCTTAATAAAAATTTTAGAACTGATTTTTTGTACGTAAACAGGCAGTCTAATTTGAATATCTTAAGTTCAATTTTTAATAATTTTTGTGAATCTGGTTTGTAAATAAAATGTCCTACATTTGCCTACTTTCTTTTTCATTCTAATTGTTATCAAAAAGGTGGTATAACTTTTTGGGTGAAACATCTTATAACTTTCTGGATCAT